GGAACCTCGTCAATTCAGCCCTCTGCCGGCGTCCACTTGTAGCCTTTTGGCAGGCTGGGGTCTGAAGATGACGGGTAATTGTTGTCGTGCCATGACGACCAACCCTCCCATTGGCATCCTTCTTAGTAGTATAAGGGTGCTCAAGAATTGCATCGCAACGCTTACACAAGACCTTTGGGTTTCCAGTCGCCGTATGGGCCACTTGCTCAAACTGTTTCCAGGTCTCCGAAGCGGAGCCATGCTGTGACTCCCAAGCGATCTTGTTTTTAGATCCATAGTCAGTCTCCAACCACCAGTTGACCCAATCAGTGTGATTCATCGCGTCGTAAAGGAAAAACTGGCCTCCTCTCCTACCAGGACCGACACGTTGGAAGCGTTCAAGGGGATCTAGGGCGATAGACGAAGGAACAGACGGCTCAACGAACGAGAAGCTATCAACCTGCCGAGAGGTGGACGGAGTAGCTGGGCAAAGAGAAGGCGTAGCAATTGACGAATTGTCGGGCTCAGTGTCGAACAGGCCCAACTGGGAGGATCTAAACTCCTGGCTTTGCGACATGATCAGGATGACAACTTGATAGTAGGTTCAAAATTGGATGAAGGGCTTCAGGGGAATAGCTTCAGGAGGAAGAAATCGACATACCTTCTTAGTGAGAGAACTGTCGACGTATCGACGCCGTAGCAAACAGATATTGTAAACAGAGATCACCGTAGCAGTCGACATTAAAACGGAATATCTTGATTCTAGCATCTGATTGGCTAGATCATGCATATGCAGTGAATTCAGCCCATCCAAAGCCCAAGAAAAGTCCATGGATAACCCATCTCCCCGCCCATTTTACAATTTGTTCGCCCAAAACATTTCACCCCATGGCTCATGAGATATCTTCAAACCTCTCTCATCTCTGTAATCCCCAGAATATTACGTTTCTGTGAAGACAGACGTTAAGTCTGAGAGATTGGCTATCTTTTGGTATAAATTTCAACTCTATAAACCTATAATTCATAGATTTGACCCTTGAATCTACAGTTCAACAGAAACATGCACCTACTTCTAATTATATGAGATATATATCTCTACATGTTGACACTTTGGAACTCTCTAAGTACCAGAATACTACGAAAACTTGGTGAAATTGGATTGTTTTTTGGATGACGCCGGTAAACTATAGTGCCTACTGTAGCTGGCTTCATCTACGACCTTAATTACTATGTCGTCGCCGTTGGATCTTGAGATCTTGATTCTTGGGGGAGTTGAACCCCCGGATTGGGAGTTGAAATACTAGATCAGGCCTGGTAAAATGTCGGGCCGATGTATGCCTTGTAAAGGCTTACAGACTGGAACATGCGTAAAAAACAGGCATTAATCAGCGGTTTTATGAGCGCCAAGATCGTAGTTATGCATAGAAATGGGCTATATTGGGGGCCTCATGGGCCCCCACTCATGGGCTATGGGTTGGGGCGGGCTATAGAGGTTAGGCCAACAGCCCACTGCTGGTTGGGCTATGGGCCTAAAGGTTGGGCCCATTTATGGGCTTTGCGGAGGTCTAGGCATGGTGCAACTACAGTGTGACTCCAAGCGTCCACTCACAAAGATGATCACTCGCCATGGTACCGGACTCCTGGTCAGCTATCGATACATGACAATCGAAGATATATACGAGCAGGTCATACAAGCTGGCCCAGGCTGCACAATAATCAAGAGAGACATCAAGTACGCCTTCCGAATCGTTCCCGTTGCCGAGGATAACCAGCACCTCCTTGCCTTCCAGTGGACCGATTCCACCTATGTCGGATGCTGCCTCCCCTTTGGCCTCGCAACGGCCCCGTTTCTCTTCAACCTCTTCGTCGAGACACTCATTGGATACCTCCCTGAATTCCATATCAATCATTACCTAGACGATTTCATCACAATTACTCAGTCTCCCTCAGTGTCCGACCCCACGGATCTTTTTGATGAGGTTTAAAACAGAGTCACCGACTATCTACGTATTCCTCGCAATACAAAAAAGGACCAGCAAGGAACCTGTGTTACAGTGCTAGGTATCCAGATCGACTCTATTGCAATGGAAGCTCGTCTGCCGCCAGAAAAGTTGTGCCGCGCCACATTGGACGCCGCAGCTGCCCTGAACGCAGCGAGTCTCTCCCTCAAGCAGGCAGAGCGCCTCACAGGCTTATTAGCCTTTTGCTCAAGAGTTGTCCGACTTGGAAGAAGAAGATTACAGTCTCTATACACCTTCCAAGCCGCTTTCCCACATGGGAGGAGTGCGCGCCGCCGTATCCCTTACGAGGTACGTGACGATTTGGAATGGTAAAGGGGCTCCTTGTCTCTCTTCAACGGCGTACTCCTAACTGACTTCTGCCTCCGCCCCATCACGCACCTCTACACAGATGCCTCCAGTACAGGCCAGGAGCTCTTCTTCTTCTCATTCAAGTCTACATTAGACTGCTGGCTGGCCCGTTGTCACCGGCTTCGTCCAAGCAAAGCTGCCACATTGGCCATATGTCCAAGACGCACATGCGCACATCGATACCAACGAAGTAGACGTTATTCTACAGGGCTTCCTACTCTTCAGCCACAATTGGCTCCATCATACTCTCGTTATCCACACGGATAGCTCCACAGCGCACACGGGACTCAAGAAAGGCTTTCTCCATGGTCCGCCTAACGCACCTCTGAAGAGCCTGCTTATCCTAGCGGCGGCGAGAGACATCCACATCGTGCCACACTGGCTCCCCCCCGGGAAAAATACATCAGCAGACGCGCTCTCACGTAACTATCTTGAAGACATTGCTAACATTTGTCCCCATTTGCAGGACCTCTGGGTATTGAACCGCCCTCGTGGTTCTCTTCACGAGCTCCTCAGCTCAACGCCGGCCACCTGAAACTGCTCTGGAATGGACTCAGCGCCAACACACGTTCCGTTTACCTCACTGTTCAGAGCAACTACGAAAAGCACTGCGCGCTACAAAATTTTTCTGTATAGCCGGTTTCAAGACAGTCATTGACCTCATGGCTAAGCTCACGACTCCTTGGTAACGCCAGCCAAAAGGGCGTCAATCCTCACCGCACTCGCCGACCAAGTCGCTCTCTGAGCCTACCATATCGATAATTTCCTTATCGATAAACTCTTCGATAACAAACATTTTCGACGTCTCATAGATGGCGCGAGAAGACTCAAACCCGTCACAAAAATACGGGTCAGAGAACCTATTTCTCGTGACACTATTACGAACTATCTGCGAGCCTCGCCGCACTCCCGCCACGGCCATTGGAGATGTCTGCGAACCTTCTAGACGTCTATAACTTTGCCGCCGCGTGCGGGGTAGCATTTGCTGGATTCCTTCGCCTCGGAGAATTCACCTACAAGGCTGACGATCTCAGCACACATTCTATCTTCTCAGCCACAAAGTTAACACGCTCCGACGTCAGATTCTCGCCCTCGTTAGACCACGCACAACTCACACTCAAGCGCAGTAAGACAAACCGCCGCCACGAAGGGGTGCAAATTATTCTTGCAAAGACAGGAGACGGCGCGTGCCCAGTTGATGCCCTTCAGAAGCTGCTACTTCTCGATCCTAGAGGGCCCGACGCCCCATTGTTCTCCTTCCACAGAAGACCATTCAGTCGCAACAACTTCCTCTCGACCTTATCTACTAAGCTAAGAGCGCTTGGACTACGGACAGAGGGCTACTCCGGTCACAGTTTTCGGAAGGGCGCAGCTCAGCATGCGCACGATAGTGGGATACTCGACGACCAGATTCAGATGCTAGGGAGATGGACCTCAGAGTATTTCAGGGTGTATTTTACGGCGAACGCGTCAGTTTTGTACAAGCTCAATCACAAATTCCAGACAGGCTCGCCGGCCCCGCTGTCTCTGCTGCTTCCACCACCGTCCCCTCCACCATCCTAGTTTGGCCGGGTCATTTGGGCCCTATCTGACGTTACGGTCTACGACCGCAGCGACAGGTGACCCGCTATGGCCAAACTACACTCTTCTTGCTCCTCTTGACTGCGTGAGGTCACCAATAAAATAGTAGGGTCTATACTGGCGGTCAGGGGCCCGAAGTATCAGAGATCAAATACTTACACCACTGTATATGAATGCTGTCCCGTATTATTGTTTCAAGGAAGCGAGCGTAAGAGTGTTTTGGACTATAAGATAGCCGACATCAGGAGACGATAGAAAAGAGGGACAAAATAGAGCCATATAAACTAGAATAATACTATTTTCGGTACAAGAACAGTTAAACCCGGGGCGTACGATGTGACGATCTGGCGAGCCGTGACTGGGGCTTAGTGATGGAGGTTTGATGCAAGATGGAGGAAGTTTGGCATGGAAACAAACACGGCAATCGTGGGCAACGCTTCGGCAGGGACCCACCCCACGATTCTGACCTCTCCCTCTTTCTCTCTCTAGCTTCGATACTTTCGCCCTTGGTACCGAATTGATCTCGATTGACCTGTAACATAAAATGGCTACAAAGGCCGTCGACAATGGGTGGGGCCTAACTCTATGAACCAGTATTCAAATTGCTGACGTCTATGCCTACGTCGACACATATGTTGGTTAGCAAATGAATGCATTGTAATGAACTCTTATCTAAGAAAAGATGAATAACTCGACCAATGACTAATTATCATTCTAGTTGGTGTAGTTAACTTAGGAGTTCGATCAATGACTAAGAAATGATATAGGAAATGTAATGCCACAATGCCAGAGCGGTACAACACTGCGACGCAATTGGCAGTCAGAACCGAGAGAATTTGTGCCTTCTGATTTGCGAAAGGTGCGCTAATTGTGTGGTCTCGTCGTCTTGGAATTTGACAAGCACATATTTTCAAGAGCACGCTCCACTAACGTCATCTTTCTCATACTGGTAATGACGTTCTTCCCAATCATACCCTTTGAAAGCAATGTCCTTGCAGTACGTATTCCATGTATCACCATTGATTCGGCTTTCACCAGAGGTAGTATAACACTGGCTACTGTTAGTTTTTGTTATTCTAAGGAAGAAGGGGACCATGCCTTGCTGTCCAGCTCACTAAAAGTGACAGACTAATAGAGAGTTAGATATTTAAAGAGCAAAATCCAAGGAAGGCTGAGAGTAACATACCACTGGGAATTTACCGCAAACATTACCGGTGAGTCCTGTATCTAGGCCGTGCGCGAGCTCGCCGGTGTCAGGGATACCCTTTCGATAGCAGTAACACCAGCCATGGTCGTCCCGCGCATTTCTATACAAACGTAAGTATTTAAAGAATGATATTTCAGCGTACTTACAGTGCAGCGCCGAAGGAGGCCTGTGCAAAGATAGCAAAGCTCAGAACCGTTCGAAGTAACATCGTCGCTAAGCAGAGAAGATTTTTGAGGAGAAGAGTTAAGGAAGTTTGTTGAGGAGGATTAGAGCGACACTGTTTGTAGAACGAGACGGTAACTTTCTCTGCCTTTTATATCGTTGGAACCTTCGACCTCGGAAAAGTCCGGCTCGTGGAGTAATGAATTTCACTTTACAAAGGGTACTGTATCAGAGTTTGGATCAGCAATTTAAATAAGAGAGAACTTTAGTTCAATTCACAAGTTTAAAAAATAGTCCGTTTCTGAGCCACTGAGTGGTGTAACGCTATTTTACATGCATGCCTACAACATGATAGCTTCAGTCTCATTTTCCGCCCGTTGTTGGATTTACGTTAATGATAGAGGCCACCAGGAACGTCTACCACCTGGCATGTGCTCCCTAGGAGAATGATCGGGTCTTCAATAAGGTCGTAATGGAGTTAGAAAGGACTCGTATTACCAGGAGACAATAATCGCCGTCACCTATCTCTATTTAGCAGTAATACAGCAGTTGGCACGCCAAGGCAAATTAATGGAGCCCACTATAACTACACCGCCAATCGTATCGTTTTCTTCTAAGCAATCCGAAATCCGATCCGTGTCTCACATCTTAAACTATTATCCTCGCCACAGAGTTTTTTTAATCAAGTCTATTTTAGCTTGGTTAGCTTTTCTCCTAAATAGCTTTATCTAATTCAGCCGCTTTAGCTGTTCTTCCTGTCTATTCTCAGATGTCCTTTTTCGAAGTCAAAAAAGCAGCTTTTATGCTTGGCAAATTATGTAAAATGCTAATCCTTACTTTATATAAGGATTTACCGTCTAACCAAATAAATAAAACGTAGTGTGAGTTAGACCTCGAAATGGGGCGGATCCGGATCCAACTTTTGAATCCTGATCCTGATCCGCCGGATTTCCGGATCGAATTCTTTGATCCGGATCCGCACCGCGGTTCTACGCAAGGCGGATTAGGATCAATCCGTTTCGATCCTGATTTGCATAAACTCGCCAAGACTTTCCTGTTTTGGCGGATATAAATGATGACTTATCTAAATAAAATACTGTAATATACACTTGTTCTGGTCAATGCATTCATAACTCCTAAGATTTAGTGATTTTTTGGTTGAAATTTCATGTTTTGAAACCGTATGTAAATCATTTTACCTATGGAATTTGAATAATAGAAGTCGTAACATCATTTCCGACCTTGGTTGTTAGCCAATTATTAAAGTAAAGTTGAGGTGTTGTAATGACATGGGAAATATATATTCTCACCCAAGTATCATGTCACACTTTTTCGGAACTTTCTTGAACTATTTTAAAGCAAAGCCTTCTAAAATCATTATATCCTTATGATTAGTTAGCTGATAAACTAAGGTACTTCATTTCTTCCTTTGTTTTTAATAAGTGATTCCTACCGAAATACCTATCTCTGTAGCCTACATAGCATACTTTGGATTAAAGAGTCAGGCAAATTCAAACATACTAAAAGGTTTTAGGAGGGCGGGGCGGGGCGGATCAGTCAGGATTTTCCCAGGGCGGATCAGGATCAATCCGTTAAGATCCGTTCTATTGTGGGCTCGTTTTGCTCTTAAAGCCAATCATATAGTAGGGCTGTAGGTCGCCTAGCCCATATTAGAATTGATATATCTACAATGTCGTTCAGCTCGCGCTCCTGGTCGCGTCTTTTAATTTCCCTTCTTTCTCGCTTCTTTCCTCCCTGTAAGTCTCCTTCTTTCTCTTTACTAAAGTTAGTAGTGATACTTATTCACTATGTCACAAAGTCAAGCCTCTCAGTTCTCGGATACCTACCCTTCCTCTATCTTTGAGGATAATCCTCTAGATAACCTTTCAGATATTCCTTCTGACGGAGCAATATATTTTACCCCTAGTGCTCTATCTCAGCAGACATCCACCCTTACACCTGACGGCGATTCCGCTCGACCATTAATAGTACCTCCTGTTCCACCGACTCTAGAACGTGTTGGGCCTACGACAAACCAGAAGCACTTTATACTCTGGACTGAGGAGATGAATGATGAATTCTGTGGGTGGTGGTTGATGACAGAGTATGGAAGTCAGATGAAAAGGAATATCTTCGAGAAACGACGCCAAGCGGACTGTTGGAAACACTTCTATCAGGTTGCTATGATTCAAAATGGGTCACCTAAGGTCATGTGCAAAGTATGCAGCCAGGTTATCATCCACCCCGCGGTCGGAAATCGTGGGACATCCTCCCTAAATAAGCATGTCCGGGAGGGTGTTAATTGCCGGAGATCGAAACCCTCACAGGATATTCGAAAGCTTCTTCAATCAGGGGTATGTTAGAACTTATTTTTATTATGCCTACTCCTCCTTGAACCTACAATTAACTTGTTTATCTTAGGTACTTAATGGCCCTCAGCCAGAGAAATTTACCCTCGAGGAGTTTGATGAGTGTGTGATATCTCTAATTACTGAGTTACGACTACCATTTCAGTTTGTTGAACATCCTCGGTTTCATAAACTAGTCAAACTGGCTAGTCTCGCCTCATCTCCGCCTCGGGTTTTGTCTGCATATCTAGTACGACAGAACATCCAGGCGAAAGTGATAGAACGCCAAAAGGCCTTCTACAGATGCTTCCGTCAGGTGCGAAGCTTTCTATTGCATTAGACTGCTGGACCTCGCCCTTCCGCCAAGCCTTTATGGCCATTACCGGATATTTTATCGATATAGACTGGCATTACCGTGAGATCTTGCTTGGATTTGAGCCACTTCATGGAAGCCATAAAGGGGCCGACCTTAGTGTTGTCCTCTTGGATCTTTTAAAAAAACATCACATCGAAGATCGGGTTTTAACAATGACCACTGACAATGCATCAAATAACACGACGCTCCATGATAGTATCATGAAAGCTCTTGATTCACTCGTGTTACCAGATGGTACCCCTATTGTTCGAATCCCGTGTATGGCACATGTTATTCAACTCAGTTTAAACGAGCTTCTCGGCAGGATGGAAGCAGCCCCAAAGAATGACCGAGAAGAAATGGAATGGACAGATTCTGAGTCCCGGGGTAAAGCTCATGGAGAGAAGAAAGATATCGTGCTTACCCTTAATAAGGTAAGAAATCCCCCCCCCCCCTCCTTCTTTCTTAGCTAATATTATACTAATATCAACCTAGGTTCGGCGACTAGCAGTCTGGGTTAATAGAAGCCCTCAGCGTAGAGAGCAATTCCTCGAGCTCCAGTCCAAAGAACCAAAGCTTGTTCTGATGCAGGACGTTAAAACCCGGTGGAATTCTACATTTCTGATGCTCCAGCGTGCCAAAAGACTACAGACTATCTGCGACAAGTATTGCTCTGAGTGTGGCCTCTCTGACCTTGTGCTCACTAAGGACGAATGGAAGCAGATTGACTATCTTCTTTCTATCACACAACCCTTCTTCAACTTCACAAGTGTTCTCTCAAAGACTAAGGATGTCACTATCCATATAGTCTTTAGTATCTACAATCAGCTATTCGATCATCTCGAGAGGTCTAGGGACCAGCTTAGACGAAAGAAAGCAAGATGGCAGATAATAATGCGAACCGCTCTCGAATATGCAACACAGAAGCTAAGAGACTATTATGCCGAGACCGACAAGGCCTATGGTGATCTCTATGCGATTGCGACTATCATGGCACCCCAGAACAAGCTTGAATACTTCTCTGGGAAGGACTGGAATGGGCCTTATCGCAAACAATACCGCGAGAGTCTTGAAAAATACCTTGAGCCATACAAGAAGCGTTACTTTGAAACTCGGCCAGCGTTGCATGGAGTTTCTTCTATAGAGCAGTTCTCTATAGTTGATCAGATAGGTGACAGGCAGAAAGCCCAGGGGTGTGAGATCAACCAAGACGATGAGCTTACACAATATCTTGGAAGTAGTAAGTGAATCATTACTAAATACCTTTTATTATCTCTTACTAATCCTTTACTAGGTACTCGCAAGATTAATCCATGTGTCTTTTGGAAGTGTAATCAGTATGAGTTCCCAGTTCTTGCGAGCCTTGCACGCGATGTTCTTTCTATTCCTGCGACTGGTTCTGGTGTTGAACGACTCTTCAATACTGCTCGTGATATCTGTCATTACCGCCGAGGGTCTCTTAAACCGACAACTATCCAGGATCTTATGATGTATTTATGTACATCGAGGTTTGACATTGAAAGTGATCAGCATACTTTGATAGAGGAGTATCTTACAGCACAGGAGATACAAGCAGTGAAGGAGAAAAGGAAGAGCGAAAGGCTAGATGATGATATGTTTGATCTAATCAGTGATACTGAAGAAGATTTCTCAGCTAAGGCTCAACCATCGCAGGGCCCGAGCAGGGTTGCGCTTGGTAAAAGACCTCTTAGAGATATCAGAGATACACCTCTGATTGAACTCGGAGACGAGGATGAAGAAGTCCAAGAGGATGAGATCCCGCTACCTGATAATTCAAATCTGCAGGATGCAAGTGGTACTCAGAGGCGTACATCAGGGCGGGTTCCAAAGCGTTCAAAGCGGGATGATGGTGAATGGGAGTACTTAAAGCCCTAGATTTAATAGAATTAGAGAGTTCCAAATCAATTTCTATTTCATTAGTATACTTTTTTGATTAATCTGTAAGCCAAATACTTAAAAATACAGCCCAAATCTACATAAAATATGCATATCACAGGGTTTCTTATGTTTGTCCTTTTTGTTAATCCGGCGGATCAATCCGCCCCGTACAGGGCGGATCAAAGATTTATAGAACCGCCCCGCGGATCGAAGAACTAGATCCGGATCCGCCCCAAAGGCGGATCGGGGCGGATCCGGATACAGATCAGAACGGATCCTTTCGAGGTCTAATTACACCTCACCTCTCTCACTATACTTTACCTACCTATCTATTAAATCTCACCCTCTTACTATTAAAACCCTACCCCCTATATCTTTTAAAACCCTCACCCCTTTTAGTAATACTAACCCTTACCCTTCTCACTAATATAACCCTTACCCCTC